TAGCAGGATGATTATTTCTATTGTGTATTTTTTTTATGAAGTTTTTTGTTTTTATTTTCTGTCTTTTTCCTACATTGCTGTGTAGAAGAAAATGATATATGATCAAATCGAATCCTTCGGAATCAATTGATTTTGGCTCACAATTTCCTACTTTTATGATCAAAATTAAAAAGATACATCACACAAAATATGTAGAATAATAATTATTCTCAAATGATATTTCAAATTTCCTTTCACAAGTGCTGCGTTTTCTAACGTGACTTTAATGTGTAAATAAGTTGAGCTGTTGAATGATATGTTAGCATCACATACAATTTGTGAATTATTTGTAATACATATTAAATTTTCTAAAGTTGACTTACAAGTTGCTGAGATTTCAAATTCCTATTAAATTTTAATAATACATAAAAAAATATTTAGTGTCCCAATCAAAATTAAATATTTAAATTACTTTAATTTGTATATTAACAAAAAAAAAATTAATCTAATAATCACTGAAAAATAAATAGAAGTTTTTGTACGATAAGTACTCAATAGGACATTTGTGAGTGTCTTAATTAGATATTGAATAATGTGACCTCAAAGATAATGAAATTAATAAGCAAAGTCACATCTACATAATTAATTAAAACTCAAGCCAATTGCAGGGAGCCACAAGCATTACACTCTTGGCAAGCAATTATCAAACTTGGTTATGGCATGTAAAATGGGGGTTTCATATTTCAAATAAGAGTCAAAGGAATAATTTATAATTGATGCCCAAAAAAATTGGAAGTTGTTTAAGAAGAAGAGGAAGAAATAAAACATTATGTCATTCATTTACTTTGGAAATTTTATCTTTGGATTTTATCTCGTTTTCAAACAGAGGTCTTCTACATCCATTGAACACTCGAATACAAGTTTAGAGTTGATCTCAATAAAAAATTTATATATATATAACAGTTAAACATATTTCGTTTAAGACAACATGATTTCTATCAATCGAATAATGTTGGGTGTTAAGAGATTCTGAGTTAATATTGAATACATAAACAGATCTATATACTAATGAGTGAGGGTTGGTGACCCCGCTCAAATCATTTAAGTTAAAAATTTAAAGTACAACATATAGATCCTATAAAATACAATCTTATTTCTAATAAGCACTTGTTTATAACAAATGTCTCTTGCATCTACTTGAAAGTAATATAAGTTTAACGTAATTATATGGCATGTAAAATGAAGGTGCCATATTTCAATAAGGGAAACGAATAATTTACAATTAATGACCAAAAAGATTGGAAGTTGTATAATAAGGTGAAAGAGAAAGGATGAACATATTTTGAATAATGAGAATTGACTTCCTACAACACTATTTTAGTAATTCACCATAACACCAACCTAAAAGCAAAGGTAAATATCTATAAATATATATTATAAAATAAAATAGTTTTTGAAAAATACAATTAAACAACAAGGAAAGTAAACGTAAGAGGCGTTCTAGATCATATGCTTCGGATTTAACTCCTAATTATCAAATAAACTTGTATTATTGCAAGGATGCATATTAAGATCATTAATATAAAAAAAATACATAATATCTTTTTTCTTTTAAATATTTATTAAACAATGAAAAAGATTTCCAAATAATTATGGTTTTTAATATAACCCTTGATATACAAAATTTTACTGGATATTAATAATAAAAGCCATATTTTTATATAAAAAAAAAAAAATTGTAAGTAGGATTTAATAGAGATTTTCTCGAGGAAAAAATTACAGTTTTAAACAAATAAAATAAAACATATGTAAATATTTATTTGAGGTTTGCCTAACACTTTTATGCCCAAAAAGTTTCAAAATACCACTTTTTCACCCAAAGTTTATATTCCGTTAATATCTAAAATACACTTTACTTTCTCAACCAATGTTCGATGAGTTACAAGAAACCAAGATAGAGGGGTTTTGTAGAGTGGAGGCCGATAGATTTAATAGTGGTGACCAATTGAATATTCATTGCCGGAATTATTCGAAAATTATCTAAAAACAGGAAATCTTAACTTTGTGGTGGCTAGTAATCGGCAAGAAATCAAGTGCCTAGGTGAGAGGGTTTTTATAGAGAAGAAACCGAAGATTCAAATGGTGGTAACGAAGAGAATTTTCGCTGTCAGAATTGGCTTTGGGTGTTAATGGAATATATATTTTGGATGAAAAAGTGATATTTTAAAACTTTTTTGTGAAAAATCGTGATGGCAAACTTTGGGTGGGAAAAAGTCGTTTACTCATATTTAATAGGATAAAACATCCACTCGTGCAATAAAAAATCAATCTCCGAAACACTTATAATAAAATAATAATACTGCCATTTGAGAAAGATTTTGAATATATATAGTTGGATCAATCACAAAATAAATTTTAACTAACATTCAATATTTTAATTATAATTATACGTGTAAGGTACTATTAAATGGTTATGCTTAGATCAATTCGTTGACATACAAGTTGCCGAAATTTCAAATTCCTCTTAAAACTTAATAATACATAAAAAAATATTATCCATTTGTTTTATTATTTTGAAAATATCTTACTCCTATCCTAAAAAAAATACATATTTGTTTCTCTATTCTTAAAATCTTATCCAATAATATTCAATTATTTTAAACCCCTATAGGTTTGTTAATTTAATTAAACACCTCTAATAAAAAAGTTTTATAAATTACGAAAACACCCCCACCCACCCACAGTTGCCAGATTGCAGTCGTCACCACCGAAATCTGGTCGGAATCTGATGTTATTGCGCACGACTAGCTAGATCTGGCTGGTCGTGCACCGCTATGGCCTTTTCTGACCAAATCTACCACGAATCTGATCATAAAAGGTCAAATCCACAGTCAAAGATCTGACCGATGTGCGCAATGACACCAAATTTCGGCCAAATTACGGTGGTGGTGGCCAGAATCTGGTAATTATGGGTGGATGAGAGTATTCTGGTCAATTTATAAACTTTTTATTATTGAGCATGTTTAACAAAATTAACAAACTTAGAGGGTTTTTTTTTTTGTTAATTTTCAAATCCTATCTCATAATAATAACTCAACCAAACTCAACTTAACAATAATATTTCAAAAATATAACTCAAAATAATAACACAATTGTATTAGTGTCCCAATCGAAATTAAATATTTAAATACTTTAATTTGTATATATTAATCACTGAAAAATAAGTAGAAGTTTTTGTACAATAAGCACTCAAAAGGACATTTGTGAGTGTCTTAATTAAATATTGAAAAATGTGACCTCACAAATAATGAAATTAATAAGCAAAGTCAAGCCAATTGCATGGAGCCACAAGCATTATACACTTGGCAAGCAATTATTAAACTTGGTTATGGCAGGTAAAATGGGGGTCTCATATTTCAAATAAGCGTCAAAGGAATAATTTATACATTTACTTCGAGAAACAAGCATTATATGTCATTCATTTACTTTGGAAATTTATCTCGATTTCAAACAGAAGTCTTATTTCTAATAAGCACTTGTTTATAATAACAACGAGGAAAGTAAACGTAAGAGGCGGCGTTCTAGATCATATGCCTTGGATTTAACACCTAATTATCAAATAAACTTATGGGTTTCGTTTGTTACACTCTTGGAATATTATTATATTCCCAATAAAGTTAAACAGTAAAATTGACTTATTATTAAAATATTATTTAATTTCTTTTAAATCTCCATAAATTTGTTAATATAACTAAACATCCCTAAATTTTTTTTTTTTACAAATTATAAAAACACCCCAACAACCCTCTGGCGGTGGTGGCCGGTTGTTCTTATTTAATGGGTAGGTTTGGAATGTTTTTGTTAACTTTTAATATTTTATTATATGGGTGTTTAATAAATAAACAAACATAGGAGGTATTTTTATTAATTTTCAAATCTTATATCGTAATAATCATCTAATTTAACTTTTTTCAAAATATTATTCTAAAAAGTATCAGAATAATGAACCAAACGGACCCATATTAATGTAAGGATGCATATTAAGATAATTAATATAAAAAAAATACATAATATCTTTTTTGTAAATATGATTTCCAAATCATTATGGTTTTTAATATAACCCTTGACATAAACAAAATTTTACTGGATATTAATAATAGCAGCATATTTTTATACAAATAAAAAAAAAAAATTGTAAGTAGGATTTAATAGAGATTTTCTCGAGGAAAAAATTACGGTTTTAAACAAGTAAAATAAAATAAAGCATATGTAAATATTTATTTGAGGTTTGCCTTAATGAAACTTTTCTACCCAAAAAATTCCAAAATACCATTTTTCTACCCAAAGTTTATATTCCGTTAATATCTAAGATATATTTTATTTTCTCAATCGATGTTCGGCGAGTTACAAGGAGCCAGAACAAGAGGGGTTTTAAAGAGTGGAGGCCGGTGGATCTAATGGTGATGACGAATTGAATATTCACCGTCGGAATCATTTGAAAATAATCTAAGAATAGGAAATCCTAGCTTTATGGTTGCCGGTAATCGGCAAGAAATCAAGTGCCTGGATGACAGGGTTTTTAGAGAGAAGAAACCGGAGGTTCAAATGGTGGTAACGAAGAGAATTTTCGCCACCAGAATCGACTGGAATCGGTTTTGGGTATTATCAGAATATAAACTTTAGGTAAAAATGTGGTATTTTGAAACTTTTGGGTGGAAAAATGTCATTAAGGCAAACCTTGGGTGGGAAAAAGTTGTCCACTCATATTTAATAAGATAAAACATCGTGCAATAAAAAATCAATCTCCACAACACTTATAATAAAGTAATAATACTGCCATGTGAGAAAGATTTTGAACATATATAAATCGTTATTGTCTGCATCGATTTATTATAAGTCTAATTTCTAATACTTGTTTATAAAGATTTCTCTACCATCTATTTGAAATTAACAATTACATTAAAAGTCTACACAACATTCGTCATAGAAAATATTAAGAAAACATAATCTCACAACACCAAATTCCTATATAAGAAGATCACATCAAAAATGGATCTCCAAAACACAATCAAACTTGAATCAAAAATAAATTAATTAACACTCTCAAAAATGGCCACCAGGCCCACCACCACCCCTTCACTTCTCAATAATTTCTCCATCTCCTTCTTCCTCATCCTCTCCATCTTCACTTCCCAAGCTCTTTCTCAATCAAACGATGAATGCACCACTGCCTCCTCCTCCTGCAACGACAAAGCTGCAGCTTTGCCGCTCAAGATCATCGCCATCGTTACAATCTTAATCACCAGCTTGATCGGCGTTTCTGCGCCGCTTTTCACTCGTTCGGTCAAAGCTCTCCACCCTGATCGGAATTTGTTCGTTGTTGTGAAGTCTTTTGCCGCCGGGATCATTCTGGCGACCGGGTTCATGCACGTGCTGCCAGACTCTTTTGACATGTTGTCGTCAAGTTGTTTGGAGGATAATCCATGGCATAAGTTTCCTTTTACGGGGTTCGTGGCGATGTTGTCTGCGATTGTGACGCTCATGGTGGACTCTTTGGCGACGAGTATTTATAGCGAGAAGTGTAATGCTGGTGGTGGTGTTGTTATTCCGGAGGGTGAAAGGGACGAAGAGCTGGCGGCAGCACCTCCGAGCTTCGGACATATGCATGGCCACAGCCACCATCTTGATCAAACAAAGACAGCAGGGAGTGTTGGTTCCCAGCTGATGCGGTATCGTGTTATTGCTATGGTATGTTTTTAGTTTTTTTAGTAGACATGTGAAATGGGTTATCCAATAAGATATGTTAAATTATCTTTTTTCGTCAAACATATAGTGGAATATTGAATCAGAACTTAAATACAATTTTTTTATTTTTGAAAACAAATTTAGTAGAAATGAGTTCAAATGCTTTTTAAATAGTTTCAAGATACAATACTAAAACGTAACATTATCTTGTCATTGTCATGGTGTATTATATACTATATATATAATTATATATAATTTTTTTTTTTTTTTTAATCACAGATCTATCAAACTTAAAAACTATCACAATTTTTTTTTTTTTTTTTTATCATCAGTAAATAAGAATGTGATTAGAAATTATGGCACTTGTATTTAGTCAATTGTTTTGTTTTGTTGAATTGATTTGATTAAAGTAATACTAGCCTTACAAAGAGGCATACAAAAAGTTATACAAAGAATCAAATCCAACCTTTGAAATTCATGATTGCCTCTTTCTCTCTCTTTTTTTTCCTTCTTTCAAGTGCTAGATTTGACTTTTTGTATGGTTCTTTGTAAAGCTAGTATTACTCATTTGATTAATAGTAAAGTTAAACCAAAGTTGTTGGATGCAGGTATTAGAATTGGGAATTGTAGTACATTCAATTGTGATAGGGCTTTCTGTTGGAGCCTCAAACAATACTTGCAGCATTAAAGGTCTTATTGCAGCTCTTTGCTTCCACCAAATGTTTGAAGGAATGGGCCTCGGTGGTTGCATTCTCCAGGTATAATTTCTTTTAAAATACAAATCTTGTTTGCCGACCTTAGATGATACGTTCCAATCATCAAAAAAATTGTGAAAATGAAAAATTAATCAAGATTTTTCGTATTAAAAACCATAAATTTTGTGGTTTACAACTAACCAATACTCGTCAAGTCCGTCTAACAATAAAAGATAAAAATCCCAATTGAACTTTCAAACATTTAAAAACTCATTGAACACCATCTAATTATTATTATTATTATTTTAAATGTAGACATACTTGAAAATTTTCATGTACATAAATATATAACCCATCTCTTGCGAAGGTCAATATATTACTAAAATACAAATCTCATTAGATGGTGTTATTAATAACGGTTTACAAACACTAACACTAAAAAAAATATCTAACTTTTTATGATGTTGAATAACCGAAGCCCAAATTTTGAAACAAATACTTATATCAAAACCTAAGAATTTTTTTCATATATATTTGTATAGGCTTTGACTATCATACAACACAATACAAATGGAAATTATAAGTTTTACATTACGAGTTTACAAATTTTACATTAATGTCTTGATACAACATTGCACTATAGAAAAACCCTAGTTATATATTTCTTCTTACAAATTTCCACTTTCTCTATTATGTATCAACCAGGCTGAGTACAAGCTATTCAAGAAGATGGTAATGGTGTTCTTCTTCGCCGTAACGACGCCATTTGGCATTGCCCTAGGGATCGCATTGTCAAACACATACAAAGAGAACAGTCCAACAGCATTGATCTCAGTAGGGTTGTTGAATGCTTCATCAGCCGGGCTTCTAATCTACATGGCTCTAGTTGATCTTCTTGCTGCTGACTTCATGGGCCAAAAGTTGCAGGGAAGCATTAGGCTTCAGCTTAAATCTTATGTTGCTGTTCTTCTTGGTGCTGGTGGCATGTCCCTAATGGCAAAATGGGCTTGAGATTTTGATTGTATCATAATGTAATAAATTTTGCTTTTCTTGTGTTTTGTCATCGTCGTACAATACTGTTAAACTTAAATCTTAATGTTGAACCTTTACACATCGTACAATGTTGTTAAAGTTAAATCTTAACATTGAACCTTTAAATCAAATAGTTTTGTTAAACTTAAATCTTAATATATATTTATTTACTGGTAGGTGTGTTTGTTTTAGTATTTTGGATAGTATTTTTGATATTTTTATAATTGAGTGGGAATAACGAGATAGGATTTAAAAATTAACAAAAACACCCCCTAGGTTTGTTAAATAACTGAACACTCCTGTAATAAAAACATTAAAAATTATAAAAACACCCCCTAGGTTTGTTAAATAACTGAACACCCCTGTAATAAAAATATTAAAAATTACAAAAACACCCCCTAGGTTTGTTAAATAACTGAACACCCATGTAATAAAAACATTAAAAATTACAAAAACACCCCCTAGGTTTGTTAAATAACTGAACACCCCTGTAATAAAAACATTAAAAATTACAAAAACACCCCACCCACCCACCCATTAAATTCCAATAGCTGGCCACCACTATTGGAGAGCAGTCGGAGTTGCCGTATCGACGCACGACCAGCTGGATCTGGCTGGTCGTCCTTTGAGATAGCCTTTTCTAGCCAGATCCATCGTGGATCTGGCCAGAAAATGTCAGATCTAGCCATGTTTGGTCATCAACAACGGCCAAAATATGGCTGTTGTTGAAGACCAGCTATGGCCAAAGACGGCCAGATCTTTGGCCGTGGGCCAAATCCATGGTGGATCTGGCCGAAAAATGATAGATCAGTGCACTATTAGTCAGATCCAACCAGTAGCGTATCATTATACCAAATTCCAGCCACCTTCTAGCGGTGGTGGCCGGAATTTGGCAAATGTGGGTGGGTGTGAATGTTTTTGTCAATTTATAAACTTTTTTTTTCTGGGAGTGTTTAGTTAAATTAATAAACTTAAGGGGTTTAAAATGTAATTGAAGAAAATATAATAGTATTTTCAGAACAAGGAAACAAACTGGTATTTTAGAAATAGTATGAATAGGATAGTTAAAAATATTTAAACAAACAGACCATGATGAGTATTCTTATCCACTGTATCTTTCTGATTAAAAAGTTAAAATAATAAGTCAAACAAATTAGCAGGATGAACATTCTGTATTTTTTATGTTTTTTATTTTCTGTCTTTTTCCTACATTGCCGTCTAAAAGAAAACGATATATGATAAAATAGAATTCTTCGGAACTCAATAGATTTTGACTCACAATTTCCACGATTAAACCCTCGTACGTTTGGCAAGTTTATGATTGTAGACGTAAAAATCTACCTGTACGGAAGGAGGGTCTGATCCCGTGAGGTCAAGACCACTAGCGATCTGCTGCACCTGCACACGTAGAGAAACACACGCGTGAAGCGAACGAGAAACACCGAGGTGGTGTTTGCCGTAGGCACTCCGACGCTCAAGTCAGTAAGGCTGAAAGGGGCTAATATAGTGAGGGCTAAGGAATAAGAGATTACCGGAAGTCTAGTCGGGGACTGTGACTACGGCGAATTAGTGAAACTCTCGAGTGAAGAGTCTCGGGTGTNACTTTCATGAAGAAAAAAATTTGGTTTTTGGTTAAATAAATGTTTTTTTTTTTTTTAAGTTTTAAATTACCAAAAATGTTATAATATATAAGACAAAATCGAAAGAAAATTATTAAATAGAACGATGATATTTTTAAAATTTTAACACTTTAAATAAACTCAAATTTTAAGCTTCTCAATGAAGACGTAAAACAACTTATTAAATAACTCATAAACTCTTTTCTCCATTGCTACCAAACAATACAAAATTTTTGAAAAAGAGTTTGTGATATTGAAAAAGTAAATTTTAAGTAATAAAATTATAATACCTTTTTAAATAACATTACTATAAATATTAATTAATTAATGTCAATTATATAAATGACAAATTAATTGTCTTGATAATGTAATTAATAATTAATTAATTAATTAATTGGAACTTTTTAAATGAAGAAATAAAACGTTTAATTTGGTGTCAATGCGAAGAATACCTACCACCGAATTGGTGATCAATAATGCTAGCGACACCGAAAATTTTACACCGAAAATGTGTATCGGTCTACGTGTAACACGCATCTGATTTGTTTAATAATTTTTTTCTAGTGAATGGCCGTCCATCAAATTTGGACGATCGTTCACTCACATGGACGCCCGTCAATATTATATGGACGGGCGTCTATATATAAGGGATGGGCGTCCCTATTTAAACGACGCCCATCCATAAATAAAGTATGAAAATAAAAAAAAAAAATCTTTGGGGATGGCCGTTCATAAATTTTGGACGGCCGTCCCTCATGTTTGCACGGGCGTCCATTTGTCCATACTTGAAAAAAAAAAAAAAACGTTTGGACACTTTAAAAAAAAAAAAAATTCGTCTTCTTTGTCTTCATTCCCCAGCTCCTGGGGTTCTCATGTTAGTTCTTCGTCTAAGCATTTTGTTGTACAAGAAATTATAAGAACTGAAGGCGCTCATCTTTCGGGTACTAGCCAAAATCCTGATGATGCCAAGTGCAGGAAGCTAGGCTTGCAAGTTGTATCTAGTTTAAGCTCAGAGCTTACCAGTGTGAAGAAATCTGCTGACATGGATTCTGACGTGCTCAGCAGTGATGTGTCCAAGCTTTCTAGAGCAAAATTGGATATATCCCTCTCATGGCCTTTTCAATTTTCCTCCTGGGGTTCGTCCTGTGCCTTTGGAAATACATATTTAGGGAGTGGATATATCCAATTTTGATGCAAGGATGCAAGCCATGACGAAATCCATATATACTGCAATTGTCCAACATGCCAAGAATGGAAAACCTGTGCTTGTATTTGTCCCTTCAAGAAAATATGTGCAGTATCTGTAGAAACCAAAATAATGGACGAGCGTCCATTAACAAGGACGCCCGTCCAAACGTTTTTTTTTTTTTTTAAAGTATGGATGGACGTCCATTCCTAATGGACGCCCGTCCAAACATAAGGGACAGCCGTCCAAAATTTATGAACGACCGTCCCCAAAGTTTTTTTTTTTATTTTCATATTTTATTTATGGACAGGCGTCCTTTAAATGGGGACGCCCGTCCCTTATATATAGACGCCCGTCCCTTATAATATGATGTGAGTGAACGGTCGTCCAAATTTGATGGACGGCTGTTCACTAGAAAAAAATTGTTAAACAAATCAGATGCGTGTTACACGTAGATGGGTACACATTTTCGGTGTAAAATTTTCGGTGTCCCAAGCATTATTGATTGGTGATGGAGACATCTCAATTATTTGGAATAAAAACAAAGACTGGATGAAAATCATTTCCAACCCATTCTATTAAAAAATAACATCCCCACCCCCCAAGTTTTAGAAACATCTATATTATCCCCATTTTTTGAAATTTAGACGTTAAAGTTAATCATGAATTTGTAATAATATTAGATTAGGTTTTTGGTCTCCATAATATTTATACTTGTGAGGTGAAAGGACAGGATTTCCCTTTTCATAATTAAGTTTTAATGATTGAATTGGAAAAGAGTAATGAGGGTAACATAGACATTTCTCTAATCAAGGGGTCAAAATGTGATTCTGCCCGGAAACAAATCATAAGTCAAATTCTAATAAAGTAATTGCACCACATATTCACATTAATAAGTTATTAAAAAATCTTATCAACTCTCAACGGTAGAAAGTATCTTATCACCTCCCTAGTCTTAGTGAAGACTTTCTCTTAATGTTATTTGTTGTCTAGTAAACTACATGATATTTGGTTTGAAAAATGAAAACTTGTATTGTCTGTTGTTTCAATGAATGACTTTCACTTACTGTCGGTTAGTAATCTATTGATATTAGGGGCGTTTAGTTCAGGAATGTTAGATTACTGAGAATGTTGGATTACTAAAAAGATAGATTACCTTGAAAGATTACTGAGAATCTTTAGAAAAATGTGTTTGATTAGTTGGTGGGTATATTATATTAATATATTTGGTTATAGGGAATAAATTGGTGGGTATGTTATTTAAATTATCAAATTGTCCCCTTTTCAAATATTAATATAATATTATTTTTATTATTAATTTTTGAATAATTTCTTTTAACCCCCAATATTTCAGATTTAGTTAAAACACCCCCGCTTATATAAAACTTTAATTTATTACGAAATCACCCCCACCACTTGCAGCCACCTGTCGCCACCGCAGACCACCGCCGGAAGTCTCCGAAAGTCCCCATCAGCAGTTGAACGTGACCAAGAGACTTTGATATGGCAGTTTTCGGCCATATTGATGGCCGAAAACTGCCATATCAGGCCAGATCTATTCTGGCCATTTCCGGCCAGATCTCGTCTAGATCTGGCCGATAATGGCCTGTTCATCGATCTGGCCATTTCCGGCCAGATCTGGCCTGATATAGCCGTTTTCGGCCATCAATATGGTCAAAAACGGCCATATTGAAGCCTCCCAGAGTCTCCCACCGAGTCTCGTTCTTTTTTAAGGATTTCAAATTTTTCGGCAACGGCCCATGGTGGTTGGCCCACTGTCGGCGGTGGTGGCTGGGTGGCAGTGATGGTCTGTAAATTATTTTAAATATAAGGGCATTATTGTCCAAATTTTAATTAAACAAGGGTATAATTGAAATAGGATATTAATGTAAATTTGTTTTAAAGTAGGGGTATTATTGTCCAAAATTTTTATTAATAAGGGATAAAATTATAACAAAAAAAGATAACCCTGGTAATCTCAGAATAACTAAGAAAATGGAGGTAATCAAATTACCTCCGATATTACCAATAGTAACCACTATTGGTATTTGATGATTACCGGTATCTTATATTACTGGACAACCAAACATGGTAACTAAGTAATATAAGACGACATTACCCCAATAATCTCATATAACCCCCAATCAAACGCCCCCTTATTTGTAAAAGGGGTTAATTCTAAGGACAATATT